ATCCAGCAATCCCACTCCTAGGAATATATCCTAGAGAAATAAGTCTGTCACACGAATAGACTTATGCACACCCATATTCACTGCAGCATTGTTCACAATAGCAAAAATGTGGAAACAACCTAGATGCCCATCAACATAAGAATGGATAAACAAACTACGGTACATACACACAATGGAGTTTATGCAACGATAAAGAACATTGATGAATCTGTGAAGCATCTCACAACATGGATGAAACTAGAGGACATTAATCTGAGTGAAATAAGTCAATCACAAAAGGACAAATATTGCATGAGATCTCTACTGTAAAAACTCATGAAAAAGTTTACACAAAAAAAGGAACAATCTTTGTTGGTCACAAGGGATAGGAGGGGTGGGGAAAGAATACTAAATAGACAACAGATAACTGGTAACTTTGGGAAAAGGTAAGACAGTAGACAATACTGGGGAAGCCAGCACAACTTGTACAAGGCAAGGTCATGGAAGCTCCATAGGCACATCTGAACTCACTGAGGGGATGAATTGCTGGGTAAGGGGCTGTGGGGACCATGGTCTCAGGGAACATCTAGCTCAATTGGCATAACACAGTTTATAAAGAAAATGTTCTACATGCTACTTTGGTGAGTAGCATATGGGGTCTTAAAAGCCTGTGAACAGCCATCTAAGATACTCTACTGGGCTCAGCCCTTAGGGAGCAAGGGAGAATGAAGAAAACAAGACGCAAGGAAAAGATTAGTCCAAAGGACTAATGGCCTACAACTACCACAGGCTCCACCAGACTGAGTCCAGTACAACTAGATGGTGCCCGGCTACCACCACTGACTGCTCTGACTGGTATCACAACAGAGGGTCTTGGTCAGAGCTGGAGAAAAATATAGAACAAAATTCTAACTCACAAAAAAAGACCAGGTTTACTGGCTGACAGAGACTGGAGAACCCCCGAGAGTACAGCCCCTGGACACCCTTTTAGCTGAGTAATGAAGTCAGTCCCAGGGTTCACCATTCAGCCAAATATTAGACTGTCCCATAAAACAGAAAGAGACTAATGGGGCACAACAGTCCAGGGACAAGGACTAGAAGGCGAGAGGGGACAGGAAAGCTGGTAATAGGGAACCCAAGGTTGAGAAGGGACAGTGTTGGTATGTCGTGGGGTTGTTAACCAATGTCATAAAATAATATGTGCACTAACTGTTTAATGAGAAACTATTTGTTCTGTAAACCTTCATCTAAAGTACAATAAAAAAATAATAAAATAAAATTTAAAACCCTGTGATTTCTTCATTCAGTTCTACAGTGTACCTGTGGGGTTTTTATTTTAAAACAACATTTCAAACGACACTCCACTGAGGACAACCACCATATAAGGAGATCCTCCTGCTGACCATGTGTGGCCCCTGAAGGATGGCATAAGGGAAGGGCACAGCCTCCTTTAATAATATCAAATCAGGAAGTTCCTAGAAGGGCAGTGGAGGGAGTTCTTCAGGTTGGAATTGTGTGCTAGACCCTCAGCCCTGATCCTTCTGATCTCTCCATATTACCTCTCTCTCTTCCAGGCTGGCTTCGGGGACACTGTCCCCCATGGGCACCTAGGAATCCAAGTGGCCCACAATGTTCAAACCAGACTTTATCCAACAAAGATCACTTGTTTCCACCAGTGAAATAACCAGTTGCCATCGAGTTGATTCCGACTCAAGGCGACCCCATATGTATCAGAATAGAACTGTGCTCCATAGGGTTTTCAATGGCTGATTCTTTGGGAGCAGATTGCCAGGCTTTTCTTCCAAGGCACCTCTGGGTGAACTTGAACCGCCAACCTTTTGGTTAGCAGCCAAGCACATTAATTGTTGATTCTCAGGAATCTGCCAGCCCTAACCCTTCCTCAAGGATCCCAGGGACGTCCAGGGAGCTCCTGGCTCCTAATCTTTCCACCTCTCCCTTTCTTCAACATAATTAAATGAAACACAATTTGCTCTTGAAGGCGGTTCCTGAGAGAATTTGATTTGTTGCCAAGGCAGTTCAGTGAGGGGGAGGAAAGCAGTCCTAAGGAAACAGGGCTGAGGAAACCTCACGTTGATTTGGGGATGAGGGGCTGTTTTGGTTTCCTTTTCCTGCTTCACCTAAGGGAGGGAGGAAATGAGGACTTAGATGCAAGGAACCCACATCACTATATCTGTGTATTTATTGAAGGTGTGGGTCTGGGGAGAAATAACTGAGAGCCAAGTCTCCACGGGGGGTGGGATTATCTGAGATTATTAGGATCAGTCCTTACCCAAGGATTTCACACCTGGCAAACAGGTGTTTATAATTGCGAGCACAGGCCAGGTGCCCTAACAGAGCCACTCTGATGGGGTTGGGGTTCCCACCTGGAATAACAGGTTCCAGGTAAAGGAGAAGGGAACCAGACCTTAGTGAGGACGTATTGTGTGGCAGGCAGTGCCCTGGACATGTGCACACATTGTATTTGGTCTTACAGAGCAGTTCAAGGAAAGATTATTGTCATTTGACAGGTGAGGTGAGGTAAGGAGCTCTAGGTGACATAAATAGAATGTGGTTTTGCCAGTTGAGTGGGACTCCGAGTCCCTCCCTCTTACGGCAGACACCCCCACACAGACAGGTTGGGCTGGCGGCATGGCAGGAGCTGGAGGAGACGGCCTCTGTTTGTGAAGTCCATGGTCAGCCAAGAGCAGAGAGAGAGGTTGCCCTGAGTGGAAGCTTAGAGTGGATGAGAGGTCAGGAGATGCTCCAGGTTGCTGCTCTAACTCCTCTCCTGTCCCCTTCTGGCTCCCTCTCCTCACTTCCTCCTGGGCTGTCCTTAACTCACTTCTGAATCATTTCATGGGCAGCAGGAATAAGGAGAAAGTGAGCACGTTGGCCAGGCCACCGTTAGGGGAGGAGCAGGAAGGAGATGTCCCCACAGACCTCGAGGAGGCTCCACTTGGTGTCTCCTGGGACTTAGAGGCATGCTCATCCAAGCTCGTTCTCAATTCTTGATTCCTCTGTAGGTTAACACAGCTTTGGAGGTGCCACCCTCACTGCAGGTCCTAAGAAAAGGAAGAAGGACTACCTGAGCTGAATCCATGAGGTTCTGGGTTCATGGTGCCAGCAGTGGACTGTGAGATTTTCGTTACAGCTGACCAGTCGGCATCCAGGCTGGAAGGAGACTTTGCTTTACCCTTGGGGAGAAGAAAACAACTTATAGGATGGAATGTGAGCCAGCCATGGAAACAGGGACCAGAGAGCGGCCAAGTCTCCAGCGATTCCCTCCAGGACGGCAACAAGTGTAGAAATGAAATGGACTTGACCCAAAGTGTTTGTCTACAGGGCTTGGCCAGGTGCTATTTAAAAAAAGTTACTCAGCCTCATTCCGGCTCCCCCCTTTGCCCTCCAAAGCCAAGTTAGTGAGTCCTGTTGGGGTACAAGGAGAAGATACTCAGACCCCATGTGTTTCAGAGAGTAGCATCCTCAGATGCCACAGGAGGGAGGTTCTCAGTGAAGCATCTCCCTCTAGATGCTGGAGGCCGTTTCCTCGGGCAGAGTAAAGAGGTTAGGATAGTGTGTTCCTGCCAAGTACCCTTTATATGACCTCCCAGGACCATGTTCAAGGAGCCCTGGTGGTGCAAAGGTTAAGCGCTGGGCTGTTAACCAAAAGGTCGGCAGTTTGAAACCACCAGCCAGTCCAAGGGAGAAAACACCTGGCAATATTCTCCCCTAAAGACTACAGCCTAGAAAACTCTATGGGGCAGTTCTACTCTGTCACACTGGGTCACTATGAGTCAGAATCGACTCAGTGGCACCTAACAACAATGACAGGACAACGTTCAAACTCATTATTCCGGCCACAGGCCCTCTGACCTGCTCCACCTCCTCTCTTCCCCACCTTATCACCCACCACTCCCTGCCTCCACCTACGCCTGCTGCCAGTCACGTTCGAGGACTCCCTGCCTCCTTGTACCCCTAGGTGCATTTGCTCATGCTGTTTCCTCCTCCTGGAATGCTTTCATCACCTTCGCTGCCATGTGGAAGCTCACCCAATCTTAGAGGCCCAGCGCAAGAGCACCTCCGCCCCTGCTGGCTTTCCCCAGCCCTATTCCCACTGCATGTGGTGCTTTCCTGGTCGTGGTCCCATCTGCGTTATGGTTCTTGAGGCATCCGTCTCCTCCATGAGACTCTGAGCATCCCAGGGCAGGGCCTGTCATATTTTCCACTGCACCCCCTCTGCTGGTGTCTACTGGGATATCCCCACCCACCCACGCATAGCCTGGCTAAAATCAGAGGGGTGGGAGGCATTAACCAGTTGCCGTCAAGTTGACTCTGACTCATGGTGACCCCAGATGTTTCAGAGTAGAACTGTGCTCCGCAGGGTTTTCAATGGCTGGTTTTTCAGATGTAGATCACCAGGCATTTCTTCCAAAGCACCTCTGGGTGCACTCAAATCTCCAACCTTTTGGTTAGAAGCCAAGCTCCTTGACTGTTTGCACCACCCAGGGTTTCCGTGGGAGGCATTGCTTGGACACAAAAGCAGGCAGCCTCTCCAAGACACAGCACAACCCCAGTGTTACTCACCGTGGATTAATTCCAGTTTTCCTTTTCTACCTTGAGGAAAAGTTCTTTCTGTCAGAGAACAGATAAGACTATCAATCAGAATCCATACAAATTATCTCACCTCACTGATCTATTGTTCAGTTTGTTTTATAAACTGATATAATGTATTCTTTTTTTATAATATATTTTTTGTTGTTGCTGTTGTTGAGAATATATACAGCAAAACACACACCAATCCAACAGTTACTACATGTAGAATTCAGTGACATTGATAACATTCTTTGAGTTGTGCAACATTCTAGCTCTCCTTTTCTGAGTTATTCCTCCCCCTTTGACATAAACTCACTGGCCCGTAAGTTTCCTATCTAATCTTTTGAGTTGTTATTGTCCGTTTGATCCCATACAGATCTTAAAAAAGCACAATGCTCAAGGCAAACAACCTTTACTACTTGAGCTAAATTGCTGCATGGTTTGGAAACCCTGGTGGCGTAGTGGTTAAGAGCCATGGCTGCTAACCAAAATGTCAGCAGTTCGAATCCACCAGGTGCTCCTTGGAAACTCCATTGGGCAGTTCTACTCTGTCGCATACGGTCTCTAAGAGTCGGAATCAGCTTGACGACAACGGGTTTGGTTTTTCTGGTTTATTGTATGGTTCTAAGAAGACTTGAGGGGATGTTTTTGGTTTAAGGTTTAAAGATTATCTCAGGGAAATAGTTTCAGTTCATCCAGCCTGCATGACTCCAGAAAATCTGGATTCCATGAGAATTTTTTAAAATATTTTACCATGTTTTCTGTGAAAGTTTACAGAGCAAATTAGGTTCCCCTTTAACAATTTTTATACAAATTGCTCCATGACATTGGTTACAATTTTTACAACGTGTCAGCATTGTCACTATTTTCACTCTGTTCTGTTTCCATTGATCTAGCTTCCCTTCCCCTCTGTCATGGATTGAATTGTGTCTCCAAAAAATATATATAAACTTAGTTAGTCCATGATTCCTAGAATTCTGTGATTGTCCTCGATTTTGTGATCTGATGTGATTTTCCTATGTGTGGTAAATTCTACCTCTATGATGTTGATGAGGTGGGATTATCGGCAGTTATGTTAATGAGTTAGGACTCGACTTCGAGATTAGATTGTATCCTGAGTCAATCTCTTTTGAGATATAAAAGAGAGAAGTGAGCAGAGAGACAGGGGACCTCATACAACCAAGAAAGCAGAGCCAGAAGCCTGCGACCTTCGGATCTGGGGCCCTGTAGTGAGAAGCTCCTACAGCAGGGGAAAATTGATGACTAGGACCTTCCCACAGAGCTGACAGAGAGAAAAAGCCTTCCCCTGGAGCTGGTACCCTGAACTGGGACTTGCATCCTCCTAGACTGGAAGAGAATAAATTTATTTGTTTGTGGAGGCACTTGTGGTATTTCTGTTACAGCAGCACTACATAACTAAAGACACCCTCCTTGCCTTCTCATCTTTACTTTTGGGTAGACGTTGACTGTTTGATCACATATAATTCATTGTCTAAGGGAGCACATTACTCATGGGTGATACTGTTTATTTTATAAGCCAATCTATTATTTCACTGAAGTGTGACTCACAGAGATAGCTTCAATTCCAAGTTCAAGGGTTATTTTAGGATGATAGTCTCGGAGGTTCATCTAGTCTCTTTCAGTTCAGTAGGTCTGGCCTTTTTAAGGAATTTGAGTTTTGTTCTATATTTTTCTTCCATTCTATCTGGGACCTTCTATCATGTTCCTGGTCAGAACAGTAGGTTTTGGTAGCTGAGCACCATCTAGTCTTTCTGGTCTCAGTTCTCAAGAGGTTGTGGTTTGTATGGACTATTAGTCCCGTGGACTAGGTTCTTCTCTCAGCTTTTGATTTCCATCATTCTCTTTCGCACCATGCTAGAAAAGACCAACAGTTGTATCTTAGATGGCAGCTCGCAAGCTTTTAAAATCCCATATGCCACTCACCAAACTTGGATGTAGAACTTTATCTTTGTGAACTATGTTATGCTGATTGATTAAGCTGTCCCCAGAGACTATGCTTCTAAGGCTCCTGAGCCAGTAAACTAATTCTGTGGGTTGTTTGGATATGTCTAGGAAGGCTCCTTAACTGTGCGCCTATGTGGTTTGTTACATGTGTGTGGATTCCATGAGAATTTGAAATTCTGTTCTGAATTTTCCGCCTTGATCAAACATACTTTTCTTTCTTTTTATTATTGTACATTAGAGGAAAGTTTTTACAGAATGAACTAGCTTTTCATTAAACAATTAGTACACATATTGTTTTGTGACATTGGTTATCAAACCCAAGACATATCAACACTTTCCCCTTCTGGACCTTGGGTTCCCTATAACCAGCTTTCCCTTACCCTCCTACCTTCTAGTCCTTGACCCTAGGCTGGTGTGCCCGTTTAGTCTTGTTTTGTTTTATGGGCCTGTCTAATCTTTGGCTGAAGGGTTAACTTCAGGAGTGACTTCATTACTGGTTAAAAGCTTGTCCGGTGGCCATAATCTGGGGGTTTCTCCAGTCTCCGTCAGGTCAGTATGTCTGATCTTTTTTTGTGAGTTAAAATTATCTTCTACATTTTTCTCCAGATCTATCTGGGAACCTCTATTGTGTTCCCTGTCAGAGCAGATAATGGTGGAAGCCAGGCACCATCTAGTTGTGCTGGACTCAGTCTGGTAGAGGCTGTGGTAGTTGCAGTCCATTAACGCTTTGGACTAATCGTTCCCTTGTGTCTTTGGTTCTCTTCATTCTCCATTGCTCCAGTTGGGGTGAGACCAGTAGAGTAGCTTAGATGGCAGCTCACAAGCTTTTAAGACCCCAGATGCTACTCACCAAAGTAGAATATTGAACATTTTCTATGCTCTGCCAATTTAGATAGATGTTCCCTGAGACCATGCTCCCCACACCCCTCAGCCATGTAATTCAGTCCCTCAGGGAGTTTGGATGTGTCTATGGAGCTTTCATGACCTTGCCTTGGACAAGTTGTGCTGGCTTCCCCAGTATTGTGTACTGTCTTACCCTTCACCAAAGTTATCACTTATCTATGGTCCATTTAGTGTTTTTCCATCCGACCCCTCCCCTCCCTCATAACCATCAAAGATTGTTTCTTATTGTGTGTAATCCTTTTCATGAGTTTTTATAGTAGTGGTCTCATACAATATTTGTCCTTTTGAGATTGACTTATTTCACTCAGCATAATGCCCTGCAGATTCATCCATATTGTGAGATACTTCACAGATTCATCATTGTTCTTTATCGTTGCATAGTATTCCACTGAGTGTATGTACCATAGTTTGTTTATCCATTCATCTGTTGATGGGCACCAGGTTTTTTCCATTTTTTTGCTATTGTGAACAACGCTGCAAAGAACACGGGTGTACATATGTCTATTCATGTGACAGCTCTTATTTCTCTAGGATGTATCCCTAGGAGTGGGATTGCTGGATCATATGGTATTTCTACTTCTGGCTTTCTAAGAAAGCTCCATGTTGTTTTCAAAAATGGTTGTACCATTTTGCATTCTCACCTGCAGTGCATAAGAGTTCCAATATCCCTGCAGCAGCTCCAAAATGTGTTATTTTCTGGTTTTTTTTTAATTTGTGCCAGTAATGCCGGGATAAGATGATATCTCATTGTGGTTTTGATTTGCATTTCTCTAATGACTAGCAATCCTGAGCATTTCCTCATGTGCCTGTTAGCCACTTGAACGTCTTCTTTGGTGACGTGTCTGTTCATTTCCCTTACCTGTTTTTTAATCAGATTATTTGTCTTTTTGTCATAGAGGTGTTGAATTTTCCTGTAGATTTTACAGACTAGACATTAGCTGGATTTGTCATAGCTCAGATTTTTTCCCATTCTGTAAGTTCTCATTTTACTGTTTTGGTGAAGTCTCTTGGTGTGCATAGTGTTTAATTTTTAGAAGATCCCAGTTATCTAGCTGATCTTCTGGAGTTTGTGTGTTGTTAGTTATTGTTTGCATCCTGTTAATGCCCTGTACTGGAGCCTCTAGCATTGATCCTATTTTTTCTTCTGTGATCTTTAAAGTTTTTGGTTTTATATTTAGGCCTTTGATCCATTTTGAATTAGTTTTTGTGTATGGTGTGAGGTATGAGTCCTATTTCCTTTTTTGGAGATGGAAATCCAGTTTTGCCAGCACCGTTTGTTAAAAAGACTGTCTTTGCTCCATTTGCTGAACTTCGGGCCCTTGTCAAAGACCAGGTAAGATGGAATTACATCTGGGTTCTCAATTCTGTTCCATTGGTCAATTTATCTGTCATTGTACCAGTACCAGCCTGTTTTGACTACCGTAGCTGTATAGTAGGTTCTGAGGTCTGGTAGTGGGAGTGCTCCTTCTTTATTCTTCTTCTTCAGTACTGCTTTATTTATCCAGTGCCTCATCTCTTTCCATTCTAATGTACTTTTGACAGTTCTGTCATAGATCACTATGAGTCAGAATAGACTCACTGGCAGTCAATAACAACATCTTTTTCTGAGTGTTTCCATTTGTCTCCTTGTGTCCTCTTCCTTCAGCCCTAATAATTTTATATGAGGAGGAAGAGGAGAAGAGAATTGTGGAAAGACATGGGTCTCAGAGAAACTTTGAATATTCAAATATTCCAAAGCTTCCCCTTTCACTGGGGTCTTGGAGCCCACGTCCAGGTTAGGGACCCAGGTCCCTTAAGTCTCATCCCATTCTTGTGCACTAATTGCTGGCAGGAACTTTTTTGGGGAGAGGGTGGACATCTTTTTCCTATTGCGCTAGAGGCCCTTTTGAAGGCATAAAGGAAATCTTGTTCCTTTTTTGTTTCCAGTAAGTACTCACTAAATGTGTCTTACATTTAAAAAAAAAAAAAAAAAAAAAAGAGGTGGGGCCAAGATAGTGGAGGAGTCAGACACTTCCAGCGGACCCTCTTAAAACAAAGACCAGAAAAAACAAGTGAATCAATTATGTATAACAATCTAGGAACCCTGAACGTCTAAGGCAAAGTTGAGGAACCGGACTGAGTAGCAGGGGGAGGGAGAGACAGTTCAGAAGCAGCGAGGAGTTGCCAGACCT